TTTAATTACATACAGTCAAGTCAATGCCGATATGTTTCCAACACGTGACAGTTTCGTCAGCATAGTTCAAGATGCATTTACTGCCTGTAATGTACAGCTACTTCAATGGGTATGTACAAAAGAAAACCACAAGCAGTCGGGATTCCATTTTCACATGACCGTGAAGTTGTCCAGATGGATTAGAGTCAGAAATTACATTGCACAGAAACATCGCGTAAATGTCAACTTCTCCAATCGACATGACAATTATTATTCCGCATGGAAATACACAACAAAGGAAGATTTAGAATATATTCAGTCAGAGGGCCATCCTGATCTTACTAACGCGCAACCACCCCAGACCACGCGAGCGAGCGCAGCATGGCGCAGAGGGGTCGAAAGAGTGGCTCAACACGACGAGGTGCAGGTAAAGCGAAAACCCGGAAGCGTCAACTCAGTGTTTACGAAGTTTCTCAACTAGTGGTGAACAAGAAAATCAAGTCCCGTCTAGAACTTTTGTCTTTTGCGCAAGAACAACAAAGAGAAGGTAAAACCGACCTCGTCCAGTTCATAGCCAACCGGGGCTCCAAGGCAGTCGACGAAGCAATCCGAGTGGGGTGGGAGTTAAAAGAAGCACCAAGTCTGGTAGTTCGGTACCGGCAAAGTCGTTTAGAGCGACTTCAGGTAGCCTTTGAAGGAGATTGCATCTTAAATTGCAACAAGAAATGGCTAGACCTCGCGAGAAATATACTCATGCGAAACAATATCGAGATATCTGAGTTTGTAGGGGCTGTGCGGTTACTACTAGAGAAAGGACGGGGAAAATATCGAAACATTTTAGTGACAGGGCCATCTAACTGCGGAAAAACTTTTATCCTAAATCCATTGAATGTAATCTACGACACATTTAGTAACCCTGCTAGTACAAGCTTCGCGTGGGTTGGAGTCGAGAGTTGTGAAGTAATATTTTTGAATGATTTCCGATGGTCAGCGCAGATTATTCCTTGGCATAATCTCCTATTGTTGCTCGAGGGACAGATGGTACGCTTTCCAGCACCGAAGACGCACTATGCTCAAGACATTGTCTTTGAAAAAGATGCCCCAATCTTCGCCACAGCCAACGAGCACTTCAGTTTTGTGCGAGGGGGTGCAGTTGACTGCGTTGAAAAGGAGATGATGAGAGTCAGATGGCGTTGCTTTCAGTTCCTCTCGCAAATCCCGCAAGATGAACAAGTGGATATCCTATCATGTCCGCGTTGCTTTGCAGAGTTTATTCTTCATTGAATATTTGAACTATCTATGTTTATCGGACATACGTTTTAGCAAAAATGCATGCTATTAGCATACTAATCAAATGCATGCTATCAGCATACTAATCAGTGTTCATATGTGCACGTGACGGGTCACCATTTAAAAATCTCAAAATTACATATTTTGTTTCTCTTCTACAAAGTTTGTTGACTAATTCACTTAAACACTACAAGTTATTCAACAAATGCTGGAATTTTGAAACAATTTGAAGCGTTGTATACGTAGAATAAACGACGGATCACCACGGTGATCCGAAGATATATGAGAGAATACATATGATGTAATATTTTCTTTTGGTTTGAACGGGTCACCGTTACACAATCAGCTCGTATTATGTTAGTTTCTTAAAAAAATGGAAATGTTAACTTTACCATGGTACCACGGTACAAACCTCAGATGTTATGTATTTAATGTGTGGCCAGCGTACTCTCTTGAGTTGTTTTGACACTTGTTTTAGACAGTGACCCGTTATGGTGATGCGTTAATTATTCAGAATCGTGCATTTCCGGGTGGGTTCATGGGCTGTCTGAACAATTATGCTTTATGCCTGACACAGTCACAGAGATGGTATACATAATGCATTGCATGTTGTTAATATTTCACAAATAGTTATTAATTATATATATATATATATATATATATATATATATATATATATATATATATATATATATATATATATATATATATATATATATAATTTTGGTAGTTAATCGGCGTGTTCATACTGCTTTGATTTGTCCATCAAATACGCGCAGCCATATCAATATAGACGAATATTATTTTTTAATTAACAATCAGTTCATATTACATTGTACGCGTTTTATTGTCACGATATACATTGTCGATATAATTATATACAACGTGAAGGTACTTGGCAGTTTGATAGTTCTAATACCTTAAACGCTGTCCTTTCCTCTTAATGATTTCTTTCACGCGATTTGGCATTGAGGCAATTGTGTTATTTATTACTTCTAGAGGTAAAGATTGAATTGTAGAGATAACTCTATTTTTAAATTCCTCGTATGTTTCCTTCGTGATTTGCGACCTGATCGCTTGCTTACGCAAGCCAAGGCTTGATCCAAGGGATTTCTCTTATACGCAAATCCCGTTTCGTCGAGGTAAAACGCAATATCTTGAGTCCACACGTCGTGAGAATATTCATTTTGCATTCTCCGTGCAAACGTTCTCCTCTTTTTCATATCAGCCTTCGTTAACAGACCTTTCTACCGAGCTTGTAGATAATAATAGCCCTCTTTATTTAGGAAACGTGAAATTGTACTCTCTGAAACGTTTTTTCTACAAATGCACGCGTTCTCCATCAGTCTCTTGATCGTGAAATTACCCTTTTGCTCTCTTAGGATCTGGATCGATCGTCGTAGCTTCCGTTACTGGCGTTTATTTAGTTTTCTTGGTCTATCTCTGGTCTCTCTGCGCGTTTTCTTACATCCGTTACTGCTCATATCCATTTTGCTAATCCTCCACACAGTTGTCCAAGAAACATTACATTCTCTTGCTACTTGCAGAACGGAAAGCCCTTGAAACCTCGATAAATAGTACACCAGAGCCTTTGTTTTGTGGTCAATAGCCATACTGAATTATTCCTTTATTGTTCAAGGATTGTTCAAGTCCTATAGTAATAATGTTCAAGCTTATATATTATTTTATTTCTTTTTTTGGTTCATTACATAACCTTCGAAACGTGTTGATGTACGCAAATGATGTCATTCACAAGCATTCTAGATAAAACGTGTCCAGCGTCATAACTTTCCACACCTACAATACTTGACATAGTATGCGCAGATTTATTGTTGAAATACAATCTCTTGCAAAATAAAACGTGCCATCATGATTTTGTAAGGCTTATCCCCCTTTCCCCCATGCAATGTTGCGATTTGAAGTCGAAATTGACAAGGAAGGCCTGAAACGGTGCTATAGCAATCACTAAGGGACCGGTCATTATTTATGGCAGGGGTGGGGGCCGAAGAGAAAATGGTGCAGGTAACTGAAAAATAATAGTTGCTTTAGGTGGGGTGGCCAAAAAATCCTTGCATGCAGAGGTGGGGTAAAAAAAAATAACCTTGCTTTAATCACACACAATACAATATATATACTACTATCAGAGTTTAATATGTGATTATTCTAATTTTTTAATAAAATATTATTGCTTTCCAAAATGTTGACAGAAACACCCCCCTCAACCCACCCGTAAAGGGTCATGTTTATATTCATTTACACACAAAATCTGAAAGACTCCAATTACCAGACAAAATATATACTGCCTATATATAGGGGCTGTTTATATGGTGCAACTGCAAGCCAACCCCAGGGTACCCAAGCTGGCCCAGTTTTGGCAAGATCCTGCCTTTGTTGTTATTTCTTACTAAAGTTCACCTTGTGCATATATGGGTAAAGAGCGGGCCCAGCTATAGCTAAGCGAGATCCCGCCCCTTTAGCCCGAGATCTTGCTTCAGGAAAAGTGACCTTAAGTCTGTAGCCCCTAACCCCGGGCATCCAGCCTCACCCCCATATAAACATCCTCTTATTACATATCTCAAAAAGTATATGTACAGTCTATTAAATTTTCAGGATTTAATTTTTGGGCATCTACACTTGATACTGTATAACTAATATTTATATCTAGTATGTGCTTGTAAACCATGTGGACAATTCAGGTAGCAAATCATGAAATATGCCCATGCCCCTTGTGAATCGATCTGGAGAATCATTCCAATGGCTAGTTCATAATATGTTCAGCTCAAACATTGTTCTGAGTCTTTGGCAACTAGCTGTTTTTCTTTACTAGCAGACCATGTATACATGGATAACATAAGAGAAATCTATTTACCCGTTTTACAGATTAATTTAATTGTTTATATAATCATACTTGGAATTCGGATGAATATCTTTATCTTCACACTGTATAACAGCAACTTTTTCTCATTAATTTACAGTAACATCATTTTCTAAATTCAGATATTCTCACATGGGACATATACTTTAGTATCGTTGTATTGTTTACAAATTAAAATATTAAATTGATTTCATAAACTTCAAGAATTCCTTGGGAATTCTTAAGGAATTCCTTTAAAATTCCGTGATAATACATGTGATTGTCTATAGTAAGGAAATATTAAAGGAATTTCAGAGGAAATTTTAGAATTTAGATAGTTGCAATCATGGGTGATATGAGCACATATTTTGTGAAACTGTTTCAAAATAAAATTGCATTTTAATTAATAAAGAAATGCAAGAATGTGAAAGAAACCAAATTATATACAGTGAAACTTTAAAGTGGGAAAGAGATAGGGTGGTGAAATACGGTTAGTGTTCTAAAATATTGAAGCATATGGTTAATATATGTTTATGGGACTAGCATTGCACTATCTCGTGAAAAGGGAATATAGCGTTGAATACAAACTATAAAAACCCATTCATATTTCAATTTTACAAGTAGACAAATTTTAAGCCTTCAGATAACTATAATTCTTTATATAGTACCTTGCTATTGTAGGGGTAACCCATAATAAGGCATGACTGTTAGTGTGCTTTAATTACTCCACAAGAAATAAGGGGCAAGGGATATTGGTAAACAAGTATTACCAATCAATCCTATTCCCTTTTAATTATAATGTCCACTGTGGTCAAAGCACCCTATAATAATTATTATTTACTCTCTAACAGCAGATGATCTTACTCATCAAGGGCAATTTTGTACCTTGATGAGTAATACGCATACAAAATACTAAACTGTTTCATTACATATTTTATGTCTGAACCTTTGACATTGCAACAAAATAGGTTTGGGTGGGGTAAAAAATTTTCTGGCATTCCACTGGTGGGGTAGCTAGAAATTTTGTTTCGAAAAAGGTGGAGTAATGATTTTTTCAGGCTTCATTATACTTTCTCTTCGGCCCCCACCCCTGCCATAAATAATGACCGGTCCCTTAATCCCCCTATTATCCAAAGGGTGTATTAGATGAAATTATAGTCATTTCATTGATATTGAAACGTACGCTAAGACTACAAGCATCCCCCCTGCTGTTACAGATTTTGACTGTGGTTTCTGCCATTGTAATTGTTATATTTTTCGGTAAAGCAGACATTCCAATGACTTTTTCGCAGAAGGAAGAAAAAGAACGAAACTAAAATGGAACTACACATAATTTGTCAGTAAATTGATCAACCCAATATGACACAAAACTGTTTATTTTCTTTATTAAAACTGCCGAGTAAATTCTTTTATAGATTTTTATTTCCATTTTTCGTTGTTGAGATATTTTATCTCCTACAATATATGTATTTTATATTTTAAAGATTTTAGATCATGTTAATCTCATCAACAATCCAGATGAAAGTGAAATTGTGCAGTATATCCGTGTAACGTTAAAGACGAACACAACAAAACCACAGATGAAGAAACAGTCTTCTATACAGGACGAGAAATCATCACGTGAACAGATACCGCAGTCGGTAGGTGCAACTAAAAATCAGTACTTTAGCCAGTACATTGCACCCGTATAGCATGCATACTTCCGAAGTCGGTTGTTTAATCACCTTTTTTCAGTCGTTCTATATTGCAAGGCCTTTGGTTGAGCTGTGTTAAAGGATTTTCGGTCAAGAAATATCAACAAAATTAGGGAACAAAGACGTTTTCGAAGATAGTTTTACCCTCGTCCCAGGCTTCTCTTCGCGCGGTTTCTTCTGAAATCAATTTTTTCGATGTCGCCTATTTGTAAGCAACAGCAGTAGTAATACCCCCCCCCCCCCTCTGGCGGCGGAAATAATTAGTATGCAAGTCTAATTTGGTGCCGGAAGTAATTAGCATGCAAAATCTATGACGTTACTTTGTTCAGCTAACACTCTTGGCGGAATTTATAATGAGCTTGCAAAGTCTATAACGCCAGGTAGCGCGACCAATTAACGCGGGCAAGCCTGGGCCAAATGTGGCAGGTGATCAATTAGCATTACAACTAGTTTCAAATTTTCTGACAAATTTGTAATAAAACGACAAGAGGTTTCTCATAGTTTGCACGTATAAAAGTATGAATGTTGTGAGTCCCTCTCTTATTTTCAACAGGCAATTGAAATTCGTTTTAATTTTTAATGAATTTGATGGCTCGTTTTGAGCAATAAGTTTCCAAACAGAAATAAAAAATATCGCAACAGAAATAAGCAGTTGCTAATCCCGGGTTGTCAAAGCCGTTGTTATGATCGCTATTTGCATGTTGTTCAACATTATTTAGCAATCCTACATACATATATACGGTCAAGATGACCGAGTCAGATAGAATACTTGAAGGAAAAAACCTGTAGAACAATTTAACAGTCTTAGATGTAATATTTTTTGTCTATTATTTGTATTAAGAAACATGTTTTAAACTTTGCTGCGTTGTTATGTGTTGCTAAGTTATTAGGTGCCGTGTAGGTAATTAAGGGATTAGGCGAACAAAAAATTTGCATAACTAAGTGTATCCCAATGGATAGATAGGGATATAATTACGTGTTTGGTGTAAGCATAGTTTATTTGATTTTTATGTCAAGGAACTTGTAATGCCTTGGTGGCCGAATGGTATGGCATTAGGGTTTGTCCCAAAATAAGAGGGTTCGAGTCCCTCACATGGCGAAATTTTTATCGAGTTATACCCATCTCGGAAGAGATAAGTCGCGTATAGCAGATAGATTTATAACGCAGGTGTATGCCTTAAAATCAGGAGCGGGGCTTTGCGGGCAAAAATTTACACAAGATTTCAGTTTTAAAACAGATTTATTTCTTTAAAATGTTTTACAAAATTTAGTAAGGTCTACTTCTAAGAGCGTAACGTTTAGGTGTTTTTGTTATTTTTAAAGAGTTCTCATATTCTTGTCTATCTTCTGGGGATAACTTTGCAAGTTTTTCCGGCTTCATTGGAACATATTTTGGTCGGTCGCTCAATATAAAACGTTCATAATCCTCTCTTGCTTCCGGAGTCATTCGTGCTAGGTCACGTTCGGTCCAATCTGCTGGGTCTACCCAATTGTGGAAAAAGTTGCGCTTGAGTTTTGGTCGTTCCTCTTCTGTTGGTGGTGGTGTAAGGAAATTAGGTTTAGGAATAGCAGGCACTTGTGGTGGTATTTCCGCTGATACAGGAATAGAAGGCACTTGCGGTGGTATTTCTTGTGGCATCTCTGCAAGGCGCTTGTGGGATACTTTGAGCAGGAAATCCTGGAGAAGAATGAGCCATCTTATCTTTGAATATGAGAAATCGGTTTAGTTGATCAGAATATAATTTGCTTTTTTCCACTGCGCTAAGTTGTGGTGCATCCATGATTTCTTTCATTCGCTGCTCGGCATCATACATGGCATTTAGAAGCGGTGGTTGTCGATACGATTGTTTTTGTATAAACCTTGAAATCTCGCCGGGAAGTATATTCGAGATCGTTGTTGGTTTTAAATCCAACATTAAGTACCCGTGAGGGCGGCTCGTAGCATCTTCATAACTCCTCATAAATTCTTGTACTCTTCCAGGATCTACTTGCCTTGCAAGAATAGAAATTTGCTGTTTATCTCTTGGTGACTTGAACAGCACGATATAATGCGCGTTTAGACTGATATTTCTCATTTCTTTGCCTTGGTGGAATATATTTTGAACAATATAAATGATAGATAAATTCCGATGATGTCTTCCTTTCGTAAAACGATCAGCAATACGTTTGTCTTTACTAGATTGTGCCATAAGATCATCCAACACGATCAAATTCCGTTGCGATACATCCAAGTAATCTCCGTTGTCGATATCGTCGGGAATGCCTTTATTGAACTCGATTCCAGGCATCGTCCCCAACATATCAAAATATGATGGTTGCCATTGACCATAACACCAGATGATACGTTGAGGAGGTGGACTTATAGTTTTCTGTGCGTTCTCCAGGAGAGATTTCACCCATACAGTCTTGCCGCTTTGTGTACACCCGGCTACGATACACGTAAAAGGATGCTGCAAAACTGCAGATCCATTAGTCGTCATGCGAATGTTGTCGGTTGGTTTTTGATCATGCACTTTTTGTTTGTGTCGATTTAAATTGAACGGTTTAGAGAAATATTTTCCACAGATATGACATGAATGAGACATGTTTACTCTATGACGAATAGTTAGATAATAAATCGTTCAAATAGAAACCGAGTTTATATAACTAGTATCTCGTAGCCAACTTCCTAGTCTCGGACCCAAGCTCCTTAGGCTCGGAGCTGGCTCCTTAGGCTCGGAGCTCCTTAGGCTCGGAGCCAGCTCTTTAGGCTCGGAGCCGAGCTCCTTAGGCTCGGAGCCAGCTCTTTAGGCTTGGACCCAGCTCCTTAGGCTCGAAGCCGAGCTCCTTAGGCTCGGAGCCAAGCTCCTTAGGCTCAGAGCCGAGCTCCTTAGGCTCGGAGCCGAGCTCTTTAGGCTCGGAGCCAAGCTCCTTAGGCTCAGAGCCGAGCTCTTTAGGCTCGCAGCCGAACTCCTTAGGCTAAGAGCCGAGCTCCTTAGGCTCAGAGCCAGCTCCGAGCTCCTTAGACTCGGAGCCTTGTCTAAATTGCATTCTCTCTACCGATATCAGCTTTCTAAATTGCTTTCTCTCTTCCTTATTGTTGTGTTTTACTCATTTGCTTCCAAACCGTCGAACAGAAATGATCAATCTTCTAAGGCACAAACCATTTCTTGAATTGTTGGGCACGTCCGAGCCTGATCAACAACAAGCACTACTGGAAACAGCAACCGCCGAACAAGTACACTGCCTGTGTCTCTGTGTAGAAAACGTTATGAAAAGAAAATATTTAATGCCGAAGCATGTGATGAAGAAACTCCGACCTTACAAAAATGAAATGCTTAGGTTGGCAGATAGAGGAAAATGTGGAAGAAGAAAAAAACGGATACTCGTTCAACGTGGTGAAGGTTTCCTTGGACTATTACTAAGTCCTATTTTAGAAAGCCTGGCTGAACTTGTATAAAAGCCCTGTGACTACAATTTATACATCATTTCAACAATGAACATCGAGAGTAAAACATCTCCGCGACATTGGCGCATTGAAGATATACTTTTGTATCTCAACAATGTCAAAAAAGCTACAGCAGAAAAAATTCTACATTATATTCTTATATCAAGCGATATATTAACTTGGAATCCTCAGGGGGAGATTGTTTATCATGGAAGAGACATTGCTGGTACAAACATCGAGAACCTTTTACAATACGCACTTTTACCATATAACTCTCACATTCCTGAACCACGAGGGCTTGAACTGTTTACAAAAGGTTTAGTAGAAGCAGGGGTTAATAAAGATTTTGTTAAAAATGAGTATTTATTGTCAAAAATGGCAAAGGAGGAACATGAAATGCCACAATCTGAGAGTGATGTTGAAAGCGAAGCTGGTGAAGAGAACAGGGAATCTGACATAATGAGGATGATGGTGAGCCCGAGAAACTAGCTTGTAACCATTGTGGTGAGGAGACTGGTCACATTGTATACTTAATGAAGTGCCCAAGATGTTCGTGGAAAGATTTCTACTGGGGCAAAGTGATGTGTGATGAACAGTCACCTCTACTGTTTTCACATGTCATTGGTTTCTGCGAGCTATGTTCGTATGGTACGTCTAAGACCAAGACGGGTGGAGTGGAGTTCACACCAAAAATGGACAAATAAAATATCCAGCAGATTGGACCGAACGTGACCTAGCACGAATGACTCCGGAAGCAAGAGAGGATTATGAACGTTTTATATTGAGCGACCGACCAAAATATATTCCAATGAAGCCGGAAAAACTTGCAAAGTTATCCCCAGAAGATAGACAAGAATATGAGATATTTAAAAATAACAAAAACACCTAAACGTTACGCTCTTAGAAGTAGACCTTACTAAATTTTGTAAAACATTTTAAAGAAATAAATCTGTTTTAAAACTGAAATCTTGTGTAAATTTTTGCCCGCAAAGCCCCGCTCCTGATTTTAAGGCATACA